TTTATTCAGATATTCTTTATAATATATACCTTGTAATGAGTAGATGTAGTTATTTCAATAATTGTGATCCCTGATAGTTTTCAGTGGTTTGAATGTTATGCATGTATCCATTCCAGTGATGATGAATATTGTTGTTTTTCTCCAGTTTTTATATCATGAATTGTACTTCTCTGCATTCCTGTGTATTTTTTATTGTAGAGAATACATGTGAAACTATAATGAATATATATATATATATATCTAAGAATAGAATTGTTGAAGAAAACATATGTACATAGTCAACTTCCTTGGATATTACCAAATAGCATTCCAAATGTTTGTTCCAAATTAAATCAGCTCTATGTGAGTAAAGATAGATTTATATTTTYAAAAAAAAAATCAGTATCTATCTTTTTGAGTGTCGTTGTAGACATTCCAATAAACCTCCTGTGGTGGTCTTTGGGGGGGGGCATGGGGGAAACCAAGGATTGAACCCAAGGATGCTTAACCACTGAGGTGCTTAACCACTGAGCAACATCCCCAAACTTGCTTTTGTATTTTATTTAGAGACAGGATCTCACTGAATTGCTTATGGAATCTCTAAGTTGCTGAGGCTGGCTTTGAACTCTGGATCCCCCTGCTTCAGTGTCCCAAGCCACTGGGATTACTGGTGCACTACCACACATGGCTGCCTGTGGTAGTCTTGAATTGTGATTTTAATTTATGCCTCTATGATGACTGAGGACTATTGGCAAATTTGCACATCATCACTTGTAAARTTGCTCTTTGAGATTTTACCCATAGTTTTAATGAGTCTCTGAATCTTTTTATTTTTTTTTTTGTAGAACATTATATATTTTATGTGAATTACTTTGATGGATCTATGTACTACAAAATACCTTCATCTACTACTCTTTGACTTTACTTTTTAAATGGCACTTTAGAAAATTAATATGAAATTTATATAGCCTAATTTTCTATATGTCTCCTGTTTTAGTGCCTTTCCAATTCTGTTTAACACATTTCTATCTACCCCGATTTTGGAGATATTCTTCTCTTTTGTATGAAAAAAAAATCATCTACCTTTGACATTTAGTTTCAGGTTTATAGTTCCTCCAGTATTGATTTTTGTCTATGGAACTCTATTAGTTTTCTGTGACTTTAGTAACAAATTGTCATAAACTAAATGGCTTAAAACAACACAAATTTATTATTTTACAAGTTCTATAGGTCAGAAATCTAACACAGATCTCACTGGACTAAAAGCAGCATGTCAACATCACTTCATTATTTTCTGGTTTCACTGATGGGAATCTATTTCCTTGTCTTTTCCAGAAACTAGAATCTATCTTCATTTATTGGTTCTTGACACCTTCCATCTTCAACAAAGGCAACCCATGTCCTTGTATTAAATCACTCTCTATCCTTCCACTTTTACAAACCCTTAGGATTACATTGGGCCCAACCAGATCACACAGCATGTCTCCATTTTAAACAAACTGAATTTAATCAGCAACTTTAATTTTCCTTTTTTTTTTAATGTAAGGTAAGGCATTCTGAGGTTTAGGAAGTAGGACACTGGCATCATTGAACATTGATTTTCTGCCTACCATAGATATGAAAGAAAATTTAAATTTCATGTCTATTATTAAATTCCATCAAATATCACTTAATAAAGATCCACTACTTATGTCAAAAAATCACATATTTGGGTCTCTTTCTGAACCTTCTCTTTGGTTCCTACTGTCTTCTCCTGTGTTGACAACATTTTACTTTAATTCCATTTCAATGATTTTGATATCTAGTAATCCTGTAGATGAGTTATTTTTCTTCAAGATTGCTTGGGATACTCTTGATTCTTTAAATTATTAGAAATATTTTAGAATGATATTGCCCATTTCCAAACTGCCAGGATTTTTATGTCAGTTGCATTATATACAAAGGAAATATGCCCTTTGTATAATGTTTCTGTATTTAAATCTTCTTTACAAATTGTCAAAAATATTTTTAATTTTCTAGAGACCTGCAAGTTTTTGTTGATTTACTCATATTTGTTTGATGTTTTGTAATTCCACATTAATTTTATTTTATGTTCTATTTTTTTTATTTATTCTTTGTTGCTGATACATAAAAGGTAATTAGTTGTCTCCATTGATCCTTACTCAATGACCTGGCTATATTGAAATACATCAATTCATAGTTGGCCAATGTACAGCCAAAAATTCTGTTCTATTTTTAAGAACTTTTTAACTAAACTTTGTAGGCTTTTACCTTGGGAAGAATGGTAACTGAGCATGTGAAAATACAATCAATTCTCAAATACTCAATGTGAAAGTTCTCCCCTATCAGTTTCCTCATGCTCAGATAAATCCTGGGTTTTCAACTTTAAATAAAAGCCCAGAGTAAACAAATATACCCAGGAGAACAGTTACTTCAGAAGATCAGTTGATATCTGTAATACATCTTTCTCCACAATCTTAGTTCTTTGTATTTCAGTTTAGTAATTTACTAATTCTCTAAGTTCTTAAATAGAAGCTTTTTGTATGCTAACAGACGTTTATAATTTTACCTGGTCTGTTCTTTACCTATATGGAAGTGATTATTGGATATTAGATTGTATCAGTTGTTTATGTAACTATGTTGAAAAAAATATCCTTAGTCTTCCTAAATTAAAATTCTAATGTTAAGTTAGAATTTTCCCTGATTTGGTTAATATACAGTAAAATTTACCTTTATGGTTTACTTTCTTCTGTATTTATTTGTTTGACTTTACTTTGTTTCAAATATGAAATAGATCTATTAATTCAATTGTAATTACCATTTAGAAACACCCCCCCAAAATATCAAAATACTGAATGGATAGTGAATGTAATATCTCAAGTTCAGTTTGAATATCAAATATAATCATATATGGAAAACTCTCTTTTATTGTTATAGGTATCTTAAAGTGAAAGAATAAAATAAAGATTGCTAAGACAAAACAAGAAAGTGAGAAGCACTGTAATTGATTGACACCCCAAAACTTTAGCCTGAACAGCAGTAAATCTATATGTAATGTTTGCAGGAATCTTTGGAAATAAGACTTTTAAATCAGAAAGACTCTTGTAAATGTGTTTTCTCTGAATGCTTTCTTTGTTCTATCAGATAAAATTCCCCATAATATAAGAATGTTTGCTGTCTAATCCCAAACTAACAATTGTATGATCAGAGAGGGAAGAAGTTTTCCCCTGCCAGTGCCTATAAAAATAATAAAATATAGTGATAGGGAGGATGTTTATTGCAGCAACCCTATTATCTGAAGAAGAACAAATTTGTTTGTAGAGGGCATGGATGTTGTTCATGGTTCAATTCTTGACTAACATGCATTAGGTGCTAGGGTTGAGCTCCAGCAGCACAAAACAGAAAACAAAAGAACAACAAAAAAATATATTGCAGAAAATAAAATAACAACAAAAACAAAAACCACCCACCACCAACAACAACAAAATCCCTAAAACCAATACTTAATGTCTGCCACATACCAAATATTCAGTACATATTAGATTATATTATTTTTGTCCAAGTTAGGTGTGGGATCAATGTCATAATGCATATTGTCAACATCATCTGGCATCAGAAGATGTAAATTTTTATCCCAGCTTCCAGTGTAGACTTCTAGTTAATTGATTTATTCCTCCAAGTCTCAAAGTCTTTTTTTAGGACATTCATGAGGATGCCACACTAGCTCTGTGTATTTTTGCCTTGAAAAAAATTAGATAAAATTTTGGTTCTAGAGTCTATTATAGCATGTGGCCTATGATAGATAATCAATAAATGCCAGTTCCCTTCCCTCTCMTCCATATAAGGTTGTTGTTTTCAGCCCAATTCTGGTAATAGCTGTGAGACCATAGAGAATCATTGACCCTCTCTCTGTGGAAGCACCCTACCCATTACTTTGATAAGTAATGCCTAATTATTTCCTAATAAAAATACTGTTTAGAGGAGCAAAGAAAAACACAAGATGATAATGCTCTGAGGAGAATCTACACTTAATATTTCAACATAAGGAATTATTAAGATAGGTAAAAAAGTTTCACTATTTCACTTGCAAAAATTAATGACTCTGTCACTGCCTGTAAATGAAAAACCATAAAACAGATGATGTCAAATAACATGATAGCACCTGGTTATACCTTCAGTTAATAAAAAAACTGCAGTGTTATTGTACAATTATTTATGCTTGCTAAGTGAATATTTATCATGATTAAAATGGCAAGGCAAAGAATAAAATGCCTTGAAATCAGTATATCTTAGAGAAAATCAGCAGATGTTACCTGTGCTGGACTCAGGAAAATCTGTCTCCTAAAAATGAAGTGTGTTTGCTGTTTTTGAATATAGTTAAGCTCTTCACTCATTTCAAAGACCTATTCACATGGCAAATTCTTAACATTTTTGTTTTCATAATTTTTTACATGAAAACTTACAGAACTTCTCTTTAGTAATTATTCCAAAACAAGCCCCTCCACTTTCATAATCAGTCTGTCTGTCACAATGAAAGAAGATCTAGATATGGAACAGTAATTGGGATTGAAAGAGTAGTTAGGTTTGCCAGGGGGGAGCAGAACTTTCTGACAGATTGAAGATGCGATAATAATCATAGGAACTAGTATTTCCAATCTCTATGAGATTCTTAAGGTAAAATATTCAAGATCACTTGTCATAATGAAGTGTTATTAAATAACACTGTCAGAGAACATTTGGGAGAATTTTCTAGGAGGTGAAGAGGTGTTAAAGAAATTACTCGATGAGTGAGGAGATTTTTGAAAGAAATTGATATTTGGTACAGGAAATTATATGGCCTGATTTGGCCAACCCTGGTGGAACAATAAGTTGCCAAATACATTGCATGATTTGAGTTTATGAACATTCCTTCAGTCAGTCATTACTGCTCACTGATCCAACGACCCCATCCCACCTGCTGAATGCATCTTGAGTTCCATATGTTGATTAATCCTCATCCTCTTCCTCCTCCTCCCCATCCCTTGGGGGACACTGCTCCTGGAAATACTGCAAAACCAGGACAATGTATGAAATGAAGAGAACAAATTCCTATTCATTCCCTAGTTTCAAAAGCCCATTTAATATAACCCTTTCAAATGGAGAATTTATTAAACTGATTAAAAAAAACAGCTACTATGCTTGATCTTATCCAAAAGACTGAGAAGCTATTACTTCTCTTTTGTGAAATTATTTATGCTATAAGAATTTTTGCAAGCCTCTTCTTTCCGAGAATAAACAAATGAGAGAAAAGTTTGTCCACACCTGGCCACAAGTTTATTCTTTGTACTTCTTTGCATTTTTGAAAAGTTTTTATTTAGTCTTTCTGTGGTTTTTAGTACTTCTAATATATATATATATATATATATATATATATATATATATAATTTATTGATACTGTGAATGGAACTCAAGCCTTCACACCTGTAAGGCAAATGCTCTTCCACTGAGCTATATTCCCAGCCCTTAACGGAATTGTGTTGTTTTTTTTTTTTCTTTTTTTATTTAAAACTTTTATTTTGAGAGAAATACAAATTTAGTTATAGTTAAAATAAATAATACAAACAGATCCGATTAGTTTCTAGTTTTTCCCTAAGGTAACTTGGTGAAAACTGTACAGCAACATGAAGACTATTGGCATAGATGCAGTGAAGATTCAGAACATTTCTTTCACCAGAACAGTCCCTCATGTTGCCCTATGGTAGCCTCCCCCACTTTCTTCACACTCCTACTCCCTGTTTAACCCCTGACAAGAACTAATCTGTTCTCCATATCTATTTTGTCATGTTAAGAACATTATGCAAATGAAATTATACAATATGCAAACTTTTGGAATTTGCTTTTTGCACTCAGCATAATATTTTGCAGATGTGTCCAAGTATTTTATATGTTTCTTTTTGTCAGTGAGTTAGTATGCCATGGTATAAAGTTACCAGTTGGGCTTTTAGGAATAAAAAGCTCCTGTAAGCATTGGAGCACATATTTTTCTGTGAACATAAATCTTCGTTTATCTGCAGTAAATTTTTAGGAGTGCAGTGTTGGGATCAGATGGGTAGCTTTTTAGCAAACTATGTGTTTTCCAGAGTGGTTATGTTAGTTCATATTCACATCAGTAATGTGTAAGTGATCTAGCTTCTCTCTGTCCTGCTAGGGTTAGAGTTCTGTGATTTCTTTCTTTCTTCTTTTTTTTTTTTATTTCAGCAATTCTGATAGCCATGTTGTGACATCTCATTATATTTTCATTTGTCTTTTCCTAATATTTAATTATGTTAAATATTCCATGTATTTAATTGATATCTGTATAATCTTCTGGGCCAAAGGTCTTTCCTCATCTTTTCTCAATGAAGGAGCCACATCCCCCAGCCTTATTTTATATTTTACTTAGAGACAAGGTCTCACTGAGTTGCTTAGAACCTGGCCATTGTTGAGGCTGGCTTTGAGCTCACAATCCTCCTGTCTCAGCCTCCCAAGTTCTGGGATTACAGGCATGGGACACTGCACCCTGCCTGGGGAATATACTTAGTAGCATCTCTCACTTTCACTTTGGTTTATTTTATCTCCCTCCATTTTTTTTTCTAATTCTCTTTTGTATCTTTGTATCGACAATCAAACAACAGTAGAACTATAGTTACAGTACTAGGAGAATACTTGTATCTTTTCACCACAGTTCCCATTCCCATGATTTACAAAATACTCACATAATATTTAATATTTATAAAATCCAGTCCACATTTGGGAGTGACTAGCTGGTAACAATATATCAAAAAGATCCCTTACTTGGAAGCAGCTGAAGATTGACGTTCCTCCAGTTTGACAATAAGTATCCATAGTCCATTTTAAGTGCAGTTATATTGCAGATACTTTAGAGTTATGAAATATTTACAAAGGAATACCTCTGAATTACAATTTTAAATAGCTGCATCAAGTATGTTTCAAAGGACCTTTTGACATTTAGAGTTTATCATTATTTGCTTCATTCAAAGGCAGAATCTAAAGGTCCCTATTGAAAGTTGCAGAAGTTATGCTTATTCCTGTAAAGATGATGGCCCGATGGGCAATTGCTCTTCAGAGACAAGATTGGAGAAATAATAAACACCAAAATCCTGCAAGTCCTAGGTAAGATCAAAACCTAAGACATCTTTTGAAATAAGAAAATCAGTTGATTACAGATGCTTTTGAAGCCTGTTTTAAAATGATCTTTTCATTGTTTCTCTTAGTTTCTCATCTCTCCTTACTACTTCCATCCACTTTAGTATCATACATGCAGTGATGATACCAATTCTGTCTAAAAAACTTTTAGATGATTAAAACTGAGAGGGAAAAAGAACATCACCAAAACTCGGTTCTCTATATTTGTTGGCTTTTTTAATGTCTGTAAAGACAACTGAAAAACAGAAGTGCCCATTTAGTTTATATCTGGAGAATCAAAGGATTTTAAAGAGGTTAAGTAATTTGTTCATAGGCACATTCAGGAAAAGAGGAAAGCCATTATATAAATTCAGATCCATTTACAAAATCTGTTTTGAAAGTGTGTCACCTGGGAGCCCTGACCCAGGAAACAAATTCGGGGTTCAGCAGGTGGAAGAGGACAGAAGACACCCTTAGGAGAGTAGACACACTTCATTCAGAGGTGGTAACAGCCTCCAGCTTCAGATTTAGCTCTCAGCCAATTTCTATTTTAGCACTCATTTTGCCCCCATTTTGTCCCCATTAGCCCTTATCAATCCCAATTAGTCCTCCAGTCTTTTCCATAAGCCTGTTTTATATGCAGGCCAAACAAAGAAGGCACACTGCAAATAGGTTACATAAGGGGGCACTTGCTCACAAGTTAAGGCTTATGACCTTGAACATACCTGCTGAATTAGTGTTTCTGCCTTGATTAATCATAACAGCTGGTTCCCAGCCTTGGCTTCACACTAAATATATAACATAGCCTGCTGGAAATCTCACCAAGGCAGCCTAACTATTGCCATTTGGGGCCTGCCCCAACAGAGTGCTACATTGTATCTTCTTAAGGGGATGAGAGTGATCTAAGTTCCCACCCTTTAGATCACTCCCATCCTCAACAGTTTTAGAAGGAATTGATTGGTGATTTAGATGTTTCAGTATTTCTGTTTAATCTCTAGCCTTTTTCTGGTGTTCCCTAATTTCCTTTTAGAACAAAATATATGTAAAGAATCCACACAGGATAAGAAATGCATTCATTTTATCTTAGATATTTATCAAGGATAAAGAACTTAATTTCCAAATCAAATTTAAGTTGCTATACAATTTCAATAACTGAATCTYGTTATTCCTTCCTCATTCAATCTATAATTTTTATTCATTCATGTTGAGCTTTAAAAGATTTACACCTTACAAACCTTGCATTTTACATGGCTATACAAAATATGGTAATAAACTTGGTCAATTTGATCAAAATCTTAACATTACAGCTTTGGCCACCTTATTCCAGGGAAAGAATTTTAATAATGTCAGTGAGAGCTTACTCTATTCAACTGAATACATATTTAATTTCAAATAATGTGGTTGTAGTTCAGAAAAAAAGAAAGTTGTGTTGTCTTCCACAAGAAAAAAAATACCATATAGTATATTAGGATGATAAGATATTATATTAAGTGCTATGAAAAAGTGTTTTGATCTTCCAATGAAATATACTTATTTGATAGGTGATGGAGAGGGAGGAGACAGGAAGTTTCCATAGAGGAGATATCTGAGGAGGGACTTGATGGATGGTTGACTTAGTCTGTTTAGGGTGTCTTATCAAAACACCATATGTGGAATGGATTTAACTATAGTCATTTACTTTCTCACAGTTATGGAGACTGGAAGCCCAAGATCAGGTGCCAGTATAGTTAGGACCTTGTATGGGATTTCTTCTGGGTTGCAGACTGTTGACTTCCAATGATTTCCTTTATGTGATCTTTCACCTGTGCATGAAGAAATGCCATGGAAAGAAGGTCATGGAAAGAAACCAAAATGTGTGAATCTCTTTAGTTCATKTATTGGAGATTTATCATAACAACATATATATTAGTAAAGAAATTTGTAATCTAGCAAATTTTGCAAGACTTCTGGAATTGTTGTATTGTTAGGATTCTTCATACTGAACAATTCATGATCTAAGGCTATGCAAGAAGTCAAGATGTCTCCTAGCCTCGGGCACATCAAGAATTTGTTGATATTCATTGTAGAATTCCACATTAACATGACATAGGCACGCTAATAATGCAAGTCTTCTTGCAGTTTTTTTTTTCTTCAGTTCTCACTGAAGGCTAATAATCCTCTCCCAGTACCTACATATTGAATTCCAGAGGGAAAGAATGTCGGGGGATTACATTGTACTCCATCTACCTTATTTTCACTCCTGCCTTGCAGAACAACAGTAAGCAATATGTCAGGATCCTTTTTGACCAACACTAAAATAATTTGGAAAAATAATTACTTAAGCAAGATAGAACTATATCCCCTTCACTCTAAAGGAGTTTGGATGTTAACCAACCTATAAGATGTTCCAAGGAAGCTGTATCCTTCTCAATGTGACTTCATTTCTTAAGGTCACATCACAGATGTGGTACTTCAGTGATTAAAATTACTTCTCAAGCATTAAGGGGAAGGAGAGAGAGGAGAATAAAGAGAACCATCATAAATAGAATAAGTTCCATGCATCTTTTTCCTTCTCACTAGTTAGAACCCAGTCGTGATGCCAAGGCTCAAAAATAAATTTGATTACTTAGCAGGGTAGAAATATTCCCAATCAAAAATAATAAGAAGAAAGAATTATAATTTTAAAGATAAATAATAGTTTCTTGCCAAATTTTGTAATATCTTGACCATCTTCCAGGTTAAATGCACATCATTGATCTAGGCAACATTTCTATGTTGCTCCTTTTCTAGTAGCTGTGGTCCTTCTCCCACAAAGAATCTCAAAGTAAACAAGCACTGTGATTGGTATTTCCAAGTAAGGAATGTTAAAAAAAAAATGATGGAGGGGGGAGAAGGAAGAAGGAGGAGTTGGAGTAGGAAAAGGAGGAGGGGAAGAGGAGGAAGAGAGAACAAATATACAACAGATTTTGAATATACTAACCTGAGCAGTGCCAGGAAATTGATAAGATCAATTTTATTCTCATTAAGTTTTTACCAATGATGGACGTAAGTGCTCATAACCCTGT